GCGTGAGACACCAAAGCCAGCAGAAGGAACGAGTGCAAAGGAGAGGGGGACCCAGCCATATGAACTCTGCTGCCAGGTGCAGGGCTGTCTCCACATCTTCAACTCACTCGCCCTCCCTAAAACTGCAGGTCGAGAGCCACCAGGAGAACAGCCTCCCAGCAAAGGAAATCAAGGTTCAGAGACATGCTTTGTCACAATGCTCCTCAGAGGCAGGGTCATCACCCTGAAGCATGGCAGCTTCCTCTGGTGTGCTCTGCTGCACACCGAGGAGTGAGATGGGAAAAGGTTTGCGGAGTCCAAGAGCACAGAACATACAAGGTCACGATGAACAGATTTCAGTCTTCTAAGGCTTCTCAGAGCGTTTCATACAGGAAGAATTTTAATCCTTCAAGGGATGCAGAAGATCACACATCTGCATATGCACAGAAGCTTTCTGGTTACTTTGTGGAGGAGCAATTCATGGACAGGTATTCCCTGGATCGCAGGCAGGAACCCAAGTAGGGTGGCAAGGGCCACACGTCTTTAGTATGCTTTGGCACAAACCCACAGAGCTTTCACAGTCGCCCATCACCCGGAGAAGGGGCCCCAGGAGAAGGGGCTGGCATGAGCATTCCATTTCACAGATAAGGAAGGCACAGCTCCTGAGGTTACGTGGTTTGTCCTCTATCACCATCCTGCAGCAATTAAGCCAGAAAAATCAGTACTACTCCATGCACCCGAGAGCAAGAAAAATCAGGTCAAGCCAAGCGAGACGCACTGGGGAAGCTAAATGAGGCTGTGTCTCTGCCGCTCCTCTTACAATTCGCCCTACACACTGCTTTCAGAGGAACTCCACGGAGCACTGGGGATGCAGGGGGAGGGGAAGGGTCTCCGCATAGGCCCCCAAACTCCTGAGTTTGAGGGGGCAATCCCACAGAGGGGCTGTGGCCGATGGAGAGAAAGTGGCTCTGAGAGCTGAGCAGCCTTCAGATCCCAAAAACTGGAGGTACCAGATGCACCTCGCCAAACCATGCATCTTCTCTTGGGACCAGCTTCATGCCATGCTTCAAGTTCCCATTCCTTGTGCCCTAAACTCCATCACAGCACTGCATAGAAGAGGCTCTCCTGGCCTGTTGCCGCCTGCCAAATGCCAGGGTCTCATGTTCGAGGAGAAGGCTGCTGTGGAGAGCGGGCTGTCACGAGGTGCAGACTGCCACCAACTCCTTCCAGCCTGGCCTGGAGAGTGCAGGCTCACACTGGGCAGTCCCAGTCCAGAAGCCCACATCGTCCCTCGGAAACTCTGAGCTCATTCTCCCTAACGGTGTGGACTTTGAGGGTGCAGTGATGATTTTTAAGTGACAACAGTAAAGTGTTGTCAAGATCCAGTCAAGAATGCCCTTGGGATGCTTTTTAACCTAGGACTTCCAGACTTTGCGTGTGTGGGGGCAAAACGCAGCCAGTTCACAGCTCTCCTCGTCCTGCTTGCTACTGTTATCAATTGTGATACACCACAACGAGACCTCTTCTCAAGGCTGGGTGGCCTAGTGGTTCAAACTATAATTTATCTGGGCTCTAACACAACAGATATTTGCTCCTCTCCCAAATCCTGCACACAGCACCAATCATTATGAAATAAACTCAGGGACCACGTGAGTCACTCTGGGTGAGTACCAGGTAACCTTGTGTAAGTGTTTCAGGAGTTCAGCAGGCATTCTTAGAAAGAAAAACAGTAAGAGGCAAAGGCGTGGTAAGCAACGCCACACAGTGCACCCTGGAGACAGATCTTTTGTCTGGGGTGCCTAGGGAGGAGGGGGACCCTGGTGACTGGTATGGAGACTTCCACACACAGACTGGAAGCCCTTCTCAAAGACCTCTGGGCTACACTTCAGGGAAACTATTCCTGAGCTTTCCCAGACACTGGAGTCCCACAGTACGTGTATCTGTTCCCTTGGCCCCTACTTCTTCCATTCTTCTGGAAGTCATCCAGATTACAATCTTTGCAAAAGAAAATAAAAAAGACCTTTCCCTGCTTGTCATAGAAAGCAACAGGATATGAAAAAAAAAGACCTCCCCTTACACACACACACACACACACACACACACACACACACACAAACACCCTGTATGATAATAAGGTGTCAAATATCCTGGAAAAGAATCTCTTGCCATTTGGAGTTTGAGGAAACAAACAAACAAAATCAAAGAAATTTCAAACGCTACATTTAAACTCTGAGTACAACTTCCATAAAGTTTCATTACATTCAGCTAGGATTACCCTTCTGTGATTTGGTAGCTAAAGACATTATTCCCTCTGCTTCCTTTCATTTGCTTCAGAATATCATACCGAGTTTATATCCTCTCAAAGCCCTCCTGCTTTATTATACAGCTAGGAAGTGCTTAATGTGACTGGATAGCTTTCAGGAAAGATTAAGAAAAATATCTTGGGGACATAGCATCTCTGAGGTTTGGTTTTCAAACTATTAAGAACCACAGATCTCTGCACACACAACCACACGCAGACCCAGCTGTGTCCCTCCGCATCCCTTCCAGTCCTTTAATGGCCCATTCTTTGCATGTTTGATGCTTCAGGATAAACTCAACACAAACTGCTCTGGTTTCTCTGCAAACAGCTCTACAAAGACCATAAATGTCACCGCCAAATGGGCCAGCACTAGTTCAAACCCTTGCATGGCTCTCATTCCTCAAGGCATCTGTGTCCCCAAAGAGAACAACCCAGGCTTAAAGGACATCTGGGGAAGAAAGCCAAGAGCTTCTCCTGCTGGGGCTAGCAGGAGGGGCTAGTGGGAAAGCAGCTTGAGAAAATCATCTCAAAACCAAGACCCATGTTTAAAAGCTCAGGAGGGGAAGGCAAGAGTTAGTTTAGTTTCTTACATGGGAATTCAACCTCCAAAATCACACACACACACGTGCACACATACACATACACGTGCACGCATGCACAATTAAGTTTGTTGATGCAGCAGTTTGAAAGACTAGGTGAGCTAGGTGTCCCTGAGGAAAGACTATGAGCTTCCTTGTGTTACACACAGAGCTGTGTACCATCTGAGGCTGATTCAGGAAAACACTAGAATCTCCTGGTAATTTCCTGCAGACAGGACATTTAATCATCTCCAAGCTGTCTCACCAAAAGAAGAAAAGGGGGGGGGAACCCCATAAACCAAATGATTCACACTCTTAAAATGAATTTGCCTTCAGATCAGAACCATTTTTTTTTTACTCTTAAAAAACAGAATTTGTTTTTTTTTTTTTTTTTTTTTTTTTTTTTTTTTAACAAACTGTTCTTTTCCTTCAGACAGAAGTAAAAGCCACTCAAGGAGGGCTCGTCCTGATTCCAGGAGCATTTCCCGAAGCCTCCATCCAGTCAGCGGTTTCTCCTAGCAGGCAGGCTCAGAAATCCGGAGAGGGCCAGGCAGTGGAGGAGGCAGAAGCCAGGACCATCTTTATAGGCCGCCTCCACCAACCGTGTTGCTTTCAGGCCCCATGGGAAGACGTTTTATTATAAGACAAGCAAATTCTTCGCAGCTCAGCTCACCTGACACCATCCTCTGAATTGCCCAAATGGCTGGGAAGACTTGGCCACGGCCAGTGTGCAAAGGAAAGGCTCAATTCTCCCCCGCCCCCCGCAGGATTCATTCTGTCTGTACAGACAGGGCCTTATCCTTCCCTCCAGTTACTCAACTGGTTGCATAGATAAAAACATCTGTGTGCAGAAAGCAGGGAACTCAAAGTATACAAATGATTCACACCACCTAAACAACTGCAAATAAAAGCCAGCCCTGCAAAAACCAGGGCTGCTAAGAGCCAAAAGAATTTAATATGGGCGGAAATGGAATTTGGCAATCCAAGCATCAGACATTGCTCTGATTTGGGAGGGCATGTCTTCCAGCTGCCTCTCCTTAAAATTAAAAAAAATAAAAGTAAAAATTAAAAATTAAACTCTAGCCCTCTGCACTACCGCCCAACTTCTTGCTTAGGAACAAACACATGAACAGATGGGGGGAGGGTTGAAACTGCATCTTTTAAACGCTGCTCACCCACTCTCTCCCCATCTTTCACAATCGCTTTGCCTCACATTCTTCCCGGGGCAGCTGCCCAGATACCCCGGATTTGCACAACCCGCATCTGCACCCAGCCGGCACACATCCTCCTAGGAGCTGTCTCCCAACTGGAGCCGGAGCCTGGTCCTTGCCCCCAAGGCCCACGTTGAAAGCAACTTAGCAAATCGGGGTCGCTTAATTACAGAAATCTACACTCGTGAGAAATAAAATAGAATCACAATTGACGGTCCTAACGAAATAAGCCACGTTTCCATTTTCCGGTAAAGCTCACCAGGTAAAGGTCTGAGGGAAAACAGCGTTTTAACACTGACCTTTCTGAGGTCAGTCAGATGCGGTTCTTGAGGAGTAACGAAATGGGTCCACAGCAGTAAATACATTTTAAGTATTTAGGAGGAAAGGATCGTAAATAAAGACTATCTAAAAATCAAATTCTGAGCAGTTACACATTTTGCCCAGAAGCAGCCCTAACCAGTCACAGGACTGCCAGCGTGGTTAATAAGGCTGCTACAGGAAAGCCAAGGGGCCCTGGAATGCAAATCTGGAAACCCCACCATGTAGCGGATGCGAGTTCGGCGCATCCTTGTGGGACGCTGCGGGGAGCGCACGCCCCGCGCCGCTGCGGACACTTACCGAGGTTTGGCCGCGCCTCGCCAGGGCCGGGCACGCAGGACAGGACGCCGGCGGACGCGCAGAAGCGCGTTACGCAGCCCGGCGGGGCGCGGGGTGCCCGGCGCGCGGGGGCCCAGGGGGCTCTGCCGCGGCTCGGGGTGCGGGCGGTGACATCGCGGGCGCCGCCGCAGGCGCAGCCGAGCCTCTGGGTCCCGGGAAGACGCGCTGGCGCTCGGGGCCGCTTAAAGAGACGCCGCCCCACCTCCCGGCCCGCCCATTGGACAGCGCCGCGGGCCGCGGGCCAATCGGAAGCCCGCTCAGAGCAGGGCTTTAACACTGGGGAGGCTCGGGGCCCAGCCAGGGCCTCCCCAGCGCCCCAGCCCCGGCACCGCGGGGAGGAAGGAGGCCACCCAGACGAAGGGCCAGCCCCTCCGGGCCCCTAGGTAGCTCCAGGCCAGCCTGGACCACCGCGCGCCGCCCTCCAGCCCCGCCGCGCCCCCGGCTCCTCGGGCCTGCACTCTGCACCCCGGCCCCTCCTCCGGCTATGGATGAATGGAATGAACACGGGAAGGACGAAGAGCCAGGCGCGGTGGCGCACGCCTGTAATCCTAGCGCTCTGAAGGTTGAGGCCGCAAGTTCGAGGCCAGCCTGGGCTCCAAAGTGAGTTCAAGGCCAACCTGAACTGCATAATGAAACCCTGCCTCAAAAATAAAAATGAAAAGGAGAAGAAGGAGGAAGAAAGGAAGAGGAGCTAGCTACACAGGCCTGCTGCAGTGCCCATGCAGCTCTTAGTTAAGAAGCAGTGTTGACTACAGACACACGATCTGCCCTCTGACTCTCACGGTCACGGAGCCTGGCATCGGTTTCCTTACACAGCCTTGCAGAACAGTCCTCCTGCAGGACCACAGCCTGCTGTGTGGCTGAGCCTGCTGTGTGGCTGAGCTGAAAATGTGCAGCTGGACACAGGGCTGAGCTCGACAGCTGCTTGGACTTCCTCATGAGCAAAGTCACTCAGGAGACAAAAGATGACATGGGTCCTTCAGTGGCAGGTCCCATGCCAGGTGCTGGGGTCACCAATACTGGGGTCACCAATAAAGGTAAAATCTTTGTTGGGCTGGGTGGGGTGCAGTGGGGTACAGGAAATGAATAGAATTAGGTTAAATGATACACAAGGAAAGATGTATACAGCTATGTTTGCTGTAGCATCAAAATAAGTGCAAACCTAATTGTCCAACAATAGGGAGCATGACTAAATAAATTATCATACATCTCACATACATCCGCATACTGGAATATTATGCAGTCATGAGAAAAGTACAGAGCTAAAGATACCAACAGGTAATGTACCTGAAGTACACAATGAAATACAGTGTGGGCAGAGTCAGGTGCATCACTTTTTTATAAACAAATATTCATGTTTTGTGTGTACATATGAGTGCTGTATTTATACAGTGCTTCCAGAGGGCTGAAGATGTAGCTCTGTGGCAGAGCATTTGCTTAGTATGCACAAGACCCTGGGTTCAATCTTGAGTATCACAAAAAGTTCTAGAAAAATGCTTAAACGTTGTCACTACTGACAAGGTAGTTTAAAGATCTAACAGATTTAAAAGGGAGACTAAGGTTTCTATACATTTCTTTATGTATTACCCAAATGTCTTACCATGAGCTGATAAGAAACCCCTGGTTCTGGCAAAATGGCAAAAGGTGACAGCTTGAAAACTTCAACCCTTTAACACCTAGATAGCACTAAAGTTTCTTTCAAATTCATAGCTGATTTAAGTAAGGAGGGAAACTACTCAGGAGGCAACATAAGGAGGTCACTAAAAATAAGAGTGGGCTGTGTGAACACTCATACTGTGGCTGTGAGGTGGAAGGGCAGCTGACCACATAGAAGGTTTGTCGTAGGTCCGTAGAAGCTCCGGTTTTAAAGCCCATGTGGGAGACAGACAAGGCCTTGGGAAATAAGAAGCAGGGAGTTATTATAAAACGCTTGGAGGACTCACGGGGGCTTTGCACGCCGTGAACACACCAATTAGAAAAGCTGCCCATAAGACCACAAAACTCATCGCCCCCGTGTTCTTGGTGGAAAGGAAAGTCTCAATTTAGCATTAGAAACTTGAGGTCTGAGGCTTTTTGGAGGTGGAGTACAAATAATAAAAGTCATGATTGTTGAGTCTGAGTGGAAAATTAACATAAAAATTGGTCTTGCTCATGATATGCCAGAAATAGTTTACAGGAGCAAATGAAAATGTTCCCTGGAGAGCCAATCCCCCACCCTCAGTTGCAACCATTCTTGAAAAGCATTAGTTCCCCAAAATAAATTTCCTAGCACACAGAAAACTGGCAAGTCACAAGTCAACACATAAGAAGAGCAAAGACTCAAGAATTAGAGGTCATACAACAACATTACAAAAAAAAAAAAATAACATGAAAGGAGAAAATTTAAAATGATGTAAAATGTTGGTGCTACAACTGGAACCCTAAGAAAGAACAAAACATGATGATCATCTCTCTTCTGTGATCCACTAAAATAAAATCTCACTGCCTAGCTTAAGTAGGAAATTGGATCCCACTGAGGAGAGGAATACCAGACTAAGGACAATATATACAAAATGAACCACAGAAGGTAAAGATGAGAAAATGTGTGTGAGAGGCTAAAAGATGTGGAATGCAGGCGAAGAAGGCCCAACATATATCTAACTGGACTCCACAGAGAGAGAGAGATTAGAGGAAACCAAAGGGAGCACTCACTGAAGATATATCGGGTGAGGATTTTCTGGCATTTATAAAACCCATGCATCGTTGCAAGAAGCACGAGGCATCTCAAACAGGATAGATAAACTGAAGAATATTTGCATGCATTAATTATTCATAAAAGTACAGTTAATGAAAAACAGAAGTGGGGAAAAATGAAAGAGCTTAATAATGCAATGACAGAGGTAAGGAAACAGAAGGCCCTCAGTCGTCAAGAAGAGAGGCAACTTCTGCATTCCATATGTGCAGCCAGAATATATTTCCCCCAATCCTTTACACATAAACACAGTGAATCCTAAACAACAGCAGGTGCCTAAAGACGCGGCTGTACATTGCTCGTGGTGCCAAGGGATGAAGCAAAGGGACAGAGATGTAGCGAAGACGAATATACTTAGCCACCCAGTGGGAGCAGCAAACCAGCAAAAGCCACCAAAACAACCAGAGCCCCTGCCCTTGAAAGCCTCACTGTGGCTGTAATAGCAACAAGCGACTACTCCATCACCAAGTGAGAGGGCAAGAGGGAACCTGAGCTGCCATGGAAACGCAGAGGAAGAGCATCTCCACCGCCCTGCAGAGAGAGGAGGGACTCGGGGAGGGCTCCCTGGAGGAAGGTTTGTCAACTCCTGGAGGAGCAGGTATCTTCAGAGCAGAAGACTTCAGAGTTAGGCCTGCTTTTAGATACCTCTATGGCCACTTTCTGTCTTGTGACTCCACCCAAGTTGTATACACCCATGCTGTAAGCTGCATGGACCTCCTGTGTAACATGGAATTTTTACTGGTCTTGTGGCTGTTCTGAGGTTCAGGAGAATACATAAAAAGCACTCATCAGAATGCATTTTCTATCACTGATTTTATTAAATGGTGACCTACTATTATTAGTAGATAAAACCTAGAGCTAGACAGAAAATCCTTCCTGTGTTCAAAGACATTTTCTTCCAGAAGCTAAATAGGACAGATGTTTTGGCCTATTTTCATGAAACTACCCTGAGAAATACAAAGTGCTTACTGAGTTCCTACCCATTAAAATGCCTCATATGCCATCAAAATGCAGTTATCAGATCTGGTTCCTTTCATAAAAAGACTGAAAGTCTACTTCCCCCCAAAATAATAAAGACTGTTTGTATTCAGGGTCAAGTAAGTGATTCTTGACAGTGTTAAAAGCTGCATCTGTGACTGAATTCCTGTCCATGTCATTAAGCTTTCAGATCTGCAGCACACCACCAGGTTAAAAAAAATTCCGACTCCAGCAGGAAAGGATTACACAACAGCTTTGTGAATGACTGGAACAATGGAGGAGGAGGAAATTTGTAAAATCCAACCAGCAATGCCAAGTCTCTTGGACTTTTACTTGGTGGATAAGAACCGACACTGATCTAGCCCATCTGCAGGAATGGCCTGAATTAAAGTGGATGCAATTCAACAAAGGCAAATCCTGGACCTGCCCTTCAGAAAAGGCACTGACCTGTAACATCTTAGAGAGAGGAAAGAACCGGCCCCAGGTGGGTTTGCTCATTCATTCCTTCATGAACCATATAGGACAGTGATTACTGTGGAAAGGGCTTGCCTGGCAGGCTGGTGGGCCAATTGGATGTGGCACCTGTCATCAAGGGGCATACACTGCAGGGCTCTGAACTCTTCCCCACAGGAAGCCCTCCTAGCCTCAGGCACCCTGTCTTCCACCTTCCCCCACCCCATGGCTCCTTAACGTCTGTAAGCCATTTGGGTGGCACTCTAGGGATTCAGAATGGCAAGTGACTTCTGTTTCTTGGGCTACCTGTGACTGATTGGTAGTGGCTTCTCCAAGTGCTGAGTTGACAAGAACTCCAAGGCTACTCTTGGCAGGAAAGCATGCTATGATTGATTAATGATATATGTCATGTCACTGAATATGAAGTGACAGCATGGGTGACATCCCCTGCTTAGTCCAACCCTTCATTCCGAGGAGGAAGAGACAGACCCTTCTTTCTTCTTCTTCTAGTATTTTAAATTCAGCAGCATTATCAGAGGCAACTAAGGAGAACTTCCATATCTGAAATGTGGCTGAGAGAGGAAAAAATTCCGGGCTTGGAATATTTCTGATGAGCTTTTAAGATATGAACTCGAATCCTTTAGAAGCCTTTTGTGTCCTGTAGCAAATGGACTAAATAGGGAAAGCTACCAACTTTGATCTCCCCAGGAGCTACAAAGCACACCCCCTCCTCCATATGCACAAGATTACATTAAATATATAATTTGAGGGTGTTGGAGTGTTTTAAATGTATTAGGGGTCATAAATGTTTAGAAAGCGAATATATTTCAGAAACAGAATGAACAAATACATAGAACAGCAATTAACATGTTATTTAAGGAGGGATAAAGATTTTTATCATCTTACTCTATTAAATGGTACAGATATCATCAGCCAAACAAAGGACAAGAAAAGCTCTTATTTATTTTCACACAGACACTTTATATCCTGGGGACTCTGTAACACTAACTGTGGAGATAGAGCTTGTCCCTGTGAGGCAGGTCCACGCCCAGTCTGTGCTCACATGCACCACCCACCCCATCACAAAGAGCCGGCTCCTTCCCTGCGAAGGACAGAAAGTACAAATGGACACAGATAAGCATAAGCTAACCCCAGCTTGATCCAGATACAAAGAACAAACTAGCATTTGGCTAATGCGCAGCTCTTCTGTCTTGCCAACTGCAGAGTGAACTTTATGGAGCCCAATGCTTAAGAACTAGGTCTAATTAATTCAGTTACATAAGCTCCAATGAAATATTAGGGGGAGGGGAGAAGGAGAGTGCCAAAGGGTGATGGGGAATAAGGATGAGAATAAAGAGAAAGTTGAGGAAAGGAGGGAGGAGATGAATTAAATAAATAAGAAAGTGTGGGACCACAGAGCTTACCTTGTGGAGACTCCAAGCACTAATGGCATCCCCTGTTGAAGAGGTGATTAATGAATGAGAGGAAGACCCACAAAGACTCTGCGGTTCGTGAAGTAATTAGATGAGGTCCCCCTGTCCTGTCACTCAGAAGTATATCTCGTCCTCAGGATTTCTACAGAGACCGCTGTAAGTCCCCTGCTGTGTCAGGTCGTATTGTATCGGCTCATATTTTCATTTATAATGGATAAATAAATTATGACGCATCCACACCACAGAATACTACTCATTAACCAACAGGGATGGGTGCAACCAGTGGAAGGGATGACTTTCAAGTCCTCTTTGCTAAGTGGAAGAAGAGCCGGAAAGGCTCCATGCCACACGGCTCTCCAGCACAGGCCCTCCGGCCCTCCAGCATAGGCACGATTATGCAGCAGGCAGCAGATCAGTTGTTCCCAGGGGCTGGGAATAGGAGGTGGCATTAGGTAGCCCAAGAGGACTCTGGGAGACAGCAGCACTGACTTGTTTCTTGATTGTCAGTGTGATTACATGACTTACGCAAAAACTCATGAATCTGTGTACCTATATGTGAATTTTATTGTATGAAAATAAAAATAGTGAACAACAAAACTCAGTAGATAAAACCCCAAATTTAAAACCATCCCTATATCATTTTGGTTTGAATTATTCTTGTATTAACTGTTTTTGCTGTTCTCTTGCTTGTTTTATAAAGATGTTTCACAAATGACTCAAAAAACAGGAACAGTGACCTGTCAACGGCTATGAACCTGACCCTGCTCCTTCCTTGAAGACAATGACACTGCGGAGGTGAGGTAACTGGGTCCCCAGTGAGTCCTCTTCGGGAATGTACAGTGCTTACGAGGTTTAGAAGACTGAGAGGACAAAGTTATTCTTTAACAATCGCTAACTTAGTGGAGCTAATGCACACACTGGCTCTGCAGTCCGTGTACATCTTTCGCATTGAGAAATTGTGTGATAGGTTTGAGAGTCCACGGGGGCAAGGGTAGTGGCATCCTTAGCCTCTAGCGACAGGCACTTGGCAGACAGCAGCATGGATGAGCAGCATCACTGCAGTGCACCCAGCACCACCCCAGCCTGCCAGCTCTTTGGATCACACTGCTCAGCAGCAGGGCAGGCTGGGGCCTTGATCTGGGCTGTCCCAAGGGTGAGCTGGCAGCCGGTCCCTGAGCATGAGTCCAGCTCAACATCTACCAGACACTGGACATCATCTTTGATTGATCCAGCTCTGTTAACTGTGGCTCACACAGCATGGCTGTGACCCCCCTCAACCCCCCTGCCGCTCAAAATGTGACACCTTAACTAAATAAGAGGAGCTGTTGTCAGGTGAGATGTGGATAGATTAAGAAAACATGCATGGAAACCACTTTAGAGGTTCCTCCAAAAATTAAAACTAGAAATTCTGTTCAACACAACCATTCCCCTTCTAGGTATCTAGGTATCTTCTATTATATTGATACATGCACACCCGTGTTCATAGCAGCACAACTCACAACATCAACTTGGAAGCGGCCTATGTGTACATCACTAGACGAATGGAAAAACAAAACGTGGTATTTGTACACCTTGGAGTGTTATTTTGCCATAAAGAAAGACCAGCTTGAGTCATTTGGGGAGAAATGGAATCTTGAGACCCATAATGTTAAGTGAAATAAATCAAACACATAAGCTTAAATACTATGTGGTTTCTCTTAAATGAGGAACCCAAAGCAAGGTGTTGCAGCACACATGTTAATCCCAGCACTCAGGAGGCTGAGGCAGGAGGATTGCTGCAAATTTGAGGCCTCCCTGGGCTACTCAGTAAGTTCAAGGTCCACCTGAACTGCACAGCAAGATCTTGTCTCAAGAAAGAAAGAAAGAAAGAAAGAAAGAAAGAAAGAAGAAAGAAAGAAAGAAATGGGGGTGGTGAGAGAAGGAGAGGGAGAGGGAGAGGGGGAGGGAGAGGGAGAGGGAGAGGGGGAGAGAGAGAGAGAGAGAGAGAGAGAGAGAGAGAGAGAAAGGTCCCCAAAATATAAAAAAAGCAAAATAAAAAATAGATGATAGGAAATAAGGAGACAGATTTTTTGCAAAAGCGAAGAGGCCAAGAGATGGACAGACAGGGAGAGAGGAGAGGAGAAAGGGGGGGTAAAAAGAACCCGGATGTACATGTACCATCTTCCCTCAAGGATTGTGACCATTGTGTACTGCCCATATGTAGTCATAATTTTCAGAAAGACGTATTTAGATGTGTGAGGCTAAAAATGCCATGACACCTGCGATTTGCTTTTCAATCCTTAGAGAGGAGAGGAGGGAGGCTGGGCAGGTGGAGGAAGGGAACAGGAAAACAGATGCAAATGCAGCCAGGTTTTGATCGCTTGAAACCTGTTAGGGGTGATTGCACTTGTCTCCTCACACTTGCACACGTGTGAAAATGTTCTTAACGGTACAGAAGTTCCAAGCAGGGCTGGGCGGAGTGGCCTTATGCCTCCTCCTGCCTGACACAATGGTTCTAAGATCACATGAGTTAGATTCACACCTTGTTCTGTTTGTCAAAATCTGTGTAAGTTTAGAGTCTTGTTTTGGTTCTTTGATCTGTCTTCCACCTTCCTCTGATTGAACCTTCTTTCTTCTATACCTAAGATTCCAGCTCCAAAAGCAGGTCTGTTTCTTTTTAAATGTATTTATCCAGCCTGTCTTCCCTATTGGCGAAGACAGTTCGTTCTCAGTGTACTTCCTGATGTTAAGTATCATCTAGTCTATCAGTTTCTGAATGTCAGACTCTGAGGATAGAAGAACCACCCAAGGCAGCTAGGCATGGTGGTTCAGGCCTGTAATCCCAGCCCTCAGGAGGCTGAGGCAGGAGGATTGCTGCAAATTCAAAGCCAGCCTGGGCACCATAGTGAGTTCAGTGGCAGCCTGAATTATACAGTGCTATCCTGTGTCAAAAAACAAAAAATAACCACCCAAGGAGCCAGGTATATTGTCACATGTCTGTAAATCTAGCACTCTGGGAGGCCGAGGTGGGAAGATTACAAATTGAAGTCCAGCATGGGTAACCCAGTGACTTAGTGAGACCCTTTCTCAAAATAAAAAAAAAAAAAGAAAAAAAAGAATTTTAAATGGGGTTGGGAATGCAGCTGAGAGGGAGGGCCCTGGATTCAATCCCCAGCACTTCAAACAAAACAAATACCCAACCCAGGGAATTCATCAATTCTGTAGATTCCTATACCTTGCCCTAGAAAGTCATTTGGATATCAAAGAGAGGCTAGAAGCTGTATTTTTAAAGCATTTTCAAAACCAAAGTAGTATGCTCATTACTCTTCCATTATATCATCAAGTAGGTTAAAAAGTGTTAATGAGTTACAAAGTCAAGCAGAATCTCTTGACTGCATCTGGAGGAGGGAGCCAGGGAATGGAAATCATCTCACTGATCACACCAAAACTTCCCAGTCTGCAGAGGAAACTGATGTTCCCAAGCTTGTAAGAGAATTTCTGGAAGAAGGAATTTGTATGGCCAGGAGATCAGAGAAATAGCATTTCTACTTCCTAGGCCTCAGTCTTGACACCTCTATGACTGGTGGTATGGGATGGTTCTGGCTTCATATTCCCAGGCATGTGGTATGTGCCTGTCCACCGTGCTGGCCTGGACTTTCTGGGCAAGCTTGCCCATCAGGCATTTGGGAAACAAGGAAGCATCGTATGAATTAATACCTCCTGCTCTGCTCTCACTGAATTCTTAAAATAGTTCTTTGAAGTAAGCACTGAGATGACCCCATTTTTGAGATGGGGAAACTGAGGCACAGAAAGGTTGTCACCTGCCTATGGGAACATAGTGGTAAGGATAGGATTCTTGCTTCCAGAGTCCTAAGAAGCACTTCCTGGCTGTGTCCTATAGCTAAGACGTACAGCCAGTACTAGCCTTTAGGCCTGCAAGACACTCAGAAGAAAGGCAGGACTATCATTTAACCCTACAAAGTCTCTGTGTTCTTGTATTTACTCATGCATTCATCCACCCATGCACCATGCCTTTCACTTAATAGTGTGTATTCACTGAATATACAACACACTATGGTAATATATTCTGGGGACACAGATAGTAAAAAAATAAAAGACAGAAGAACTCACAATTGGGCACTGTGGATGTGAGGTGGAGGGAGGAACCAAGAGTTTTTCTACATAAAGCATGAGTGTCATGAGGAAGCACTATGGGACAGCAGAATGAATGATTTGACCGGCACAGACATAGATATAAGTCCACAAGAATGAGTAGGAATCTCTAGATAGGAAAGGGGAAATTCAGGAAGGCAAAGGCAATTTCGGAGAATCACTGTGGCAAGAAAGAGACCCAGGAAGGGCAGGAAAGAGAGACTTCACAGCGCTGATCAATCTCGGCAAGACTGACATCTAGGTCCCCAGTAATCCTGCACTGTGTGTCAGGGGCTCTCTTGGGCATGCACAATGCTTAGCAGCACCCCTGGCTTCTCCCCAGTAATCACCAGACGTTATTAAAGTCCCGGCACAGCAGGATAATTCCCACGAAAGCCTGGACCAGCTGCCACATGGGGAGCTTGCACAGGAAGTGAAGAGATGCAGAGAGGAAGGAAGTCGCTGGTGGCTGAAAGGAGCCCAAGGAGAGCCTTTGGGTCCATACCATGGAATGCCAGTGGCAGGACTCCGCGAACTCTGAGCCCCTGCCAGCCACTTGGAAGCTCATTCCTCTGAGCAGGTGGCTCCAGGCCTGCGCTGCCCATGCAGTCTAGCGAGAAGTCCTTATCTTCTTGGTCAGGACATTGGTTACCAGCTCGGACACTGACTGCACTCTGTGTGCCATGCAGAATTCTGAGATGGACCCTATTTCCAGCCCTCACACCATCAACAACTTCTCTTAGTTGGTTCTGACCCACCACTAACTGAGAGGCTACTGTAAAGGGCCTCTCTGGCTACATCTGAGGTCCCCAGTGGGCTGACTTAAAGCATACTCTCAGAGCCTGGCCAACTCAGAGAACTCTTAGAGCTGGTTCTTCCTGAAGATAGAGACTTGAGGTAGAGGAGCATGTGACATAGCGGCCTTGAACAGAGAAGGGGCCATCCAGCAAGAACCCAAGCATGGCCTGCAGACATTGAGAGTGGTCTCTATTAGGCTGTAGCAACAGTGAGGGCCTTATTTCTGTCCCCACCCTGAGCAATCTTGTAAAAGAGCAGACAAGGACGCAGATGACCTCCAGAGAGCAGAGGAGCCAACCATGCCAAGCCTGAGGTCCTGGCCTGTGGAATGATGAGATACTAAACAGGAATTCTTTTAAGCTGCTAAATTTGTGGTCATTTGTTATGTGACCACAGAAAAAATACAACAATCTCATGATCCTTCAAGGTCCAGCTTGAATCCTTGCATGAAACCGCAGTGTGAACAGAGAGCAGAGTGGCCCCACTCCTCCTGCTGCCCAACATTCTACTTCCGTGACACCTTGCACTGACACACTACAGGAAGACAAGATGTGGCTAGAACCATCTGGGAAAGGAAGCATGATAAAATCCTGGGACATAGGTGCAGAGTGATTCTCAGAGCCCTACACATGGACTTCTCCTGGGAACTCCAGCAGGTTTTTGATAGGGTCTCCTGGACATGGTCAGCGTGAAAAGATAAAAAAGGAACAGTCACCATGATGCACTCACCATCTGGTCTCCTCACAGTGGCCACCCTCAGCTGGAGGGTGTATTTTATGTTTATTTTCCTACTTTTACTTAGCCCAAAATCACACTGCAGAGCCTATTGTTTTCCCTACCCTATTTTTTCCCCCCACCTTTAATAAATGTGAAACTTGCCACTATTTATGCTTGTTTCATTCAATTCTTTGTTCAGGACAGAAAGAAGCTAGAAACGCCTTTTAGAAGACTCCAGCATCCTAACATCTGGTAACATCTCCCCGGTGGGTATCTGGCTTATTGTTTTGGAGTGCATTTTGTCTTTCTGGTCCATAGAACCCTTCATTTCCTGTGCAAAAATAAGCACAAAAATAGTGATTGTATGTTCAAAGGTCCCTAGAACCTCTCACCATGCCTGTAATGGTGTTAGATCCATCGTAGTCATTAGTAAGTCATTGCAGATCGGTGGCCACCAGTCCTCTACTGCCCACCACTGGGTGAGGGGAGAAGATGGCTCCATACCACCCACTGCCCTAAGTTACTGCCTGATGGAACTGACTTGGGACAACATGCCAGCGTTCACAACAACCATCTACAAATCAGTAATTACTTACATGGTTCTCTCAGGGTCAGATGATGGCAAGTTCTGCCCTGAGGCCCCCAGTCAGGAATTAAAGCACCTGGAAGTTTGGACTCTGTTGTTGCTATCTCTGCACTCCTGCTAAACTCAAAGGGGAGATTTCCAGGTATGGGGTCTGTGGTTGAGTTTCTAGTCGAGAGATCTGCTTTGTGAGGTTTCCAAACTGAAGCCTACCATCAGCCTAGTTCATTAAATGGACTTCCTAAAATAAATTATAAATGCCTCTGTAAATTACATTAAATCTGACTGTATCCCTACTGGCCCAAGCACTCTTTACCAAGGAACTGGAAATTCATAATAATTGAACACTGAAAAAATTCTACTTGGAGCTAGATGTGGTGGTACATGCAAGCTGGTAATCCCCGCAATCTGGAGGCAGATCACTGGGAGTTTGAGGCTTAGCCGATGCTGCATAGCAAGTTCAAGACCAACCTGAACTACATAGACAGACCCTGCCACAAAAAACAACTATAAAAAATTCTATTCAGAGTATGAAGCTTTTGCCTTTAGGTCTTTTCCCTGGGTAGAGTCTAGAATTAATGCTTGTGAGACAGGAATTTACTAACCAGTCTATATGTAGTTTCCTTTTACTTCTGTAATTATCAGGAGGTCAGTTAATATGACTCTAATAATTATAATGCTTGGGGTGATTAGGTCTCAAAATTAGCTATGCCAAAGGAAAATAATTATGGACAAAATTGAGAGCCTGAACGTAAAGCTATGAAGCCACAGCCTTCCTGGGTAGCATAAAGAATTATCAGGCTGTGAAAAGGCAACCTTCACTCCAGCTCTCTGGTGAATTATGCTGGAGAAAAAGAAGAGCACAAGTTACCAAGCAGAGGACATGAGCTTGGGAAGGCAGGACTCAGAGTGAGTGAACAGACCCTGCAGAGGCAGAGTGCGTTTCTGGAAAGTGGAAGGCGCTCTTCTCACTGCTGATGTGGCGGATACTGTGCCTGCCCCAGGTGCAGCCTCCGCTGAGACACAGAATGAACCAAGGAGTTCTCTGGGTAACATGAAGTGGAAAACAACAAGGAAAAACAAAGAAGATGAAGAGACAGTGCCGCTCTCTTCAGATCTCTTTTGCAGCTCAGAGCAGGCTCCGACTTAGCCTCCTAAATACCACTGAGTGTACCCACCTGTAAGCCTGTCCATCCCCAGTCACAATCACCTTTGTGGCATCACATACTCACACTCCCAGTCACGCACCAGATGTCACTCCAGCCTGTCCTCAACACTGTGCACTTCTCCGTCCTTGCCTCCAGGCCCAGGCCTGGGCACTTTCAGCTTTTTCCTGGACTTCACATCAATGCCCAGAACTTGTCCCTCCTGCCACCAGCCCTACTCCAACCCCATTTTGCACACTACAGCAGGAGCTGTCATGCTACAAGATCCATCTCAGTATCTCATTGCCTACTTTCCTGTGACTCCCCAGTACCTTGGGATAAAGGAACCAGATTCACAAAGCCCTTCGAGATTTGACTCTAGTTTGTCATACACACTTTCTTTGCCAAAATTGTACCCCAGTTTCTCATCACTGCACTTGAGCTAAACTGACTTGTGTGCAGGATTTCCCATTCTTGTTTTTTCTCTCTCTGCTCCCTGAGACCTGCAATGATGCTTTCTACTCCTCCACATCTGTCTTGTTTGCCTCTGGGTAGTCCTCTCCGGAGCCCTATCTGTGGACTAAAACAGCAGATAGCGTGCTTCTGATAAATGACTGGCACGGGCACATATCTCTCGAATAAATGAATAAGTCCATTTACGAAAGCAATGAAAGTGGCCAAAGAACAGAGTCTTCTGGAAGCCAGATCAATGTCTGTAATTGTGGCCAACTTCTTTTGGATCTCAGAACACCAATTCATATGTCCTTGGCGAGCCAAGCCTTTGATAGATGGAATTCTTATGTTGGGGACAGGTCATTTATTGTCTCTGAGCCTCAGTTTCCTTATTAATAAGAGAAGAATGGTTCCCACTTTGAGAAGATGCTAGAATAAAGAAACTAAAAGGGTGCTCTGAAAGACCTCGCACAGTGCCTTATACAAAGTGCTGGGAGTCCTCTGCATTTTAACAAGTAGGTCAAAGCCATTTCATACTTGCAATATGATTACCATAGTAATGGCTGTATTTTATAACCTGCAAAATGCTCCCATGGAGACCAGTAGAGACAGCTACAGTTTGTAACAAAAATAATAATTTCAGCCCTGCAGAATAAGCTCCTCTTAAAAACTCTCTTGCTGCAAGTATTAATTTTTGAGGCTCCCACAATATTTGGAAACAGCAAATACTAATGACTAACTAAAGACATGCTCAAGAGCAGTTGATCTCAGTAGCTTTATGTTCAGAGAGATGATAATAACAATAATGACAATAATAATAGCAGCTAATGCTCATGGAGTGTTTGAAGCAGACTGTCCACAAAAACAGTTTGTGGAAGTTCCCCATCAGTACCCACCCTCTTGAGTAGTCTCCTCGCCTCCTGACTGTGGACGTAGCTACATGACTTGTTTTAACTAATGGGGCACTAGCAAATGTGACAGAAGAGACCTGAAAAGCAACTTTGTACTTAAAGTTTTCTTTTTTGCTGCTTGTGAGCACAAACTTGTGAATGTCTCCATTGGAATTGTCCCCCAACTACCCTAAACAGGAAAGCAAAATCAACCTGGACTATTTGGTCCTTTCCTAACAATTCAAATCACCAGAAACTATAAATGCATGTCCATGTCAGGTAATAAATTTCAGGGTACTTTGTTATGCAGCATGAGTAACTGATACAGCATTTACACTGTGTTGCACATTCTTCAGAGTTTTCCTGGGACAGCTCTTTGGGGGAGTCCTCACTCTGTAAATGAGGGAATGAATGAGGCACACACAAAACTGGTACCTCTGTCCACTATCCACCAGGAGAAGTGACAGAACCAGAACTTGAACCTAGTTGGTCTGGCACCAGATGGAGGGCTCTTTAACTCCACAGTACTGAGTCTCAACTCTATTTATTTTTGTCTGACAGAAATCTTTTTTTATATGATAGTTACAAAAGCATTACTTAACAGTTATGTCAATAAGACAACAGAATACTTGTTCCCTAAGGAAATCTCATAGGAGTAAATCTTAAGATTTTGAAGACTGCAGATCAAAAGCATCCCTACCCATCCACACACCAAAGTCCATTCTAAAACGCTTAACGATACGTATGATTTTTAGAATAAATTTTGAAAATATACAGTGAGTAATAAGTTTCAATTGGACTTAATTATTGTAAAATTTTAGGTTATATCTTACCTACATAAACTACAAAAACAATGCAGTCTTTTAAATATTACAGCATGGAGCATATAAAGTAAACGTGAGCCTCTGTCTTTCATCCTTCACCTTTACTCAGCAAATATAACATCTAGATAGTCCAATATGCATCTTTTCATATTTTTACTTTGATTTTGCAATCATAGTTATTAAAAGCCTACCAAGATACTGTTCTTTAAAACTGAAAATACAAAAAAATCAGTTGACTATAAACTCGAGTATATTTTAATAGGCTTGTCATTCTAAGAAGTTGTATAAAAACCTTAGTTCATTATAATCAAGTATCTATATTAATTGCACTTTATTTCTCCAAAGTGGCAATTATCCCTTCACCTTGCACAATCGACAGAAAAGTTAGCTTCTACAAGACACTTAAGGAAGCCATTCTTTTGTCCTTTTTAGTCTATAATAGAATTCTTATCTATCTAACTCTTATCTATGGCAAAGGTTTTACCATACCTTTCAAAACTGAAGTTAAATCCTCAGAACAGCAATGCTAGATAACAGCCAAGAAAGTATAAAACAAGTTTTTAGATTCACAAACAAAATAACTAGAGCAGGAGGCAGACACTTGTACAGAAGGTCACACTACTAGGATGGAGGGGTGTAGCTGCCTGGAACAGGTCCTCCCAGGAGGCAGGAGCATCGTATACATATACTGTACTTAGCTAAGAACAACAGAATGTCCATCTCTAATCAGATGACAGAATCACAGCAAAACATTCTTATAAAAACCAAAAGCATCCAGCTGGAAATTCATTTTTTTAAAAATTCAATTTATTTTTATTTGGATCGCAAGGTTTTACCCCACTGCTAACTGGCCTTTGTATGGAATTAAGAGGTAAACGCTCCCCTGGAAAAGATGACCTGTGCATCCATTCTGCCTCGATTTCCTCCTCCTTCCTGTATGCTGTTTTGGAGGATTACTGGCTAGAGATTGTGACTGACGGGGACTGTTTCATTGCAATTCAGATTCCATGAGGGACACTTATTGACTGGGCAAGGAGACCAATACCCTTTGGTTTTACTCGTTCATTCATCTAGTCCTCCTTACTGAATGCCTATTTACATCAGTCATGGCACACGGGCTTGGAACTAAGAATGAAGGAGACATAAAAAATGTAAGATCTATCCCAAAGGAAAATACAATGATTTAAAAGTCTCTGGGTCTTTTCCCTTTTGACAACCCTAATTAGACTCTGCACAATGTTTTATAATTGACATCATGTGATTTATTTGAAGCT